TTCACTTGCCAAAAAGAAAAATAAAAAATTATTTGTTGATTGACATCTTCAATGGAAGTTGACAGGATCCCCCCTCAAAATCCCATAAGACTCGCTCTTTTTGCGGCGGGCATGGAAACCCAAAGGCCAGGTGGGACGAAGTTTGGAATTCATTGGAACTTGAAAATTCTAGGTCTCTAGAAGCTCCAACTGTTGATATCAAGAAGTCTTGAAATACTTGTTTGACAACGTATCTGACACTTCTCAAATATAGAGATCAGACTTCACCTTGATCTAACAAAGCTTCATAGAGATTCGACTTCACTTCTTCTTCAATTAGATAAAAGAGAAAAGAAGAGAAAGAGAGGACAAAATTAGATGGTAAAAGCGTTGTGATGTGCAGCGAAAGCAATACTATAGGAACTTTGGAAGTACATAAATAAAAGATGTTTTGAAGGAAAAAGCAAATGCAATACTAAACTCTGAAAAAATTGGGGTGGTTGCTATAGAGTTGTTATCAATAAGAGATGAGTGGTGGGGTGTTTGTCGGATTGCTCTCACGTACGAGTCTGACGTATTGATCAGAGAAAAATATGTGAAAAAGACAAAGAGTAGGAGTATTGGAAGCATCGCAACATGGTTGAATTAACTTAATTTTGATGAAAACTCATTCGGAAACCCTGCACCAGCTGGTCTGGTGGCATTACAAGGTACAATAACGGTTTGTTACTTAAAAAATATTATGCTCCATTTGGTGTGGCAACAACAAATGGGGCTGAGCTGAGATCAGCTCTTCAAGGTTCGATGGTTTTTCAATAGCGTGGTGGATCGTGTAACAAAATTGGGAGTTCAAGCTATTGTGATGTAAATTTTATTTTTTGACTTTTTCATTGTTTTGATTTTTTCCCAATGATGTAATGGTCAAATGGCTTTTGTTATTGCTGTAAAATGATGTTGAGTCAATAAAATGTTATTTTCTGTCACAAAAAAAAGAAGACAGAACCAGAAAACATGTGTTTAGAAAGAAATGGAATAGAGAGAGGGCACATCTAAAAAAGAAAAAGAGTTACACAGCCAAAGGCCTCCACTAGACAGAGGACTTAGAGAGAGAAAAAAGACAGTCTGAAATAGGGACTTAGAGAGAGAAAAAAGACAGTCTGAAATAGTGAGAGAAAGGCCTCCACTAGAGAGAGGACTTAGAGAGAAAAAAACGTCTGAAATAGTGAGAGAAAGGGTACTTTAGAGAGAGAATAGAATTAGAGATAGAAAGGGAATGCTTAAAGACGGTGAGTTTAGAGGGGAGAGAGAAAGGACATAGTTGGAGAGAGAAAAGAGTTAAAGAGGGTGTCTGATTGGAAAAAGAAAGGGGCTAGAAAGTGTTGAGAGAAAATGCACTTAGAGAGAGAGGCCCTAGGGAGATAAAGGGTACACTAAATATAGAAATAATTATTGGAAATGTATATAATGAGATACAAAGATGTTACAATTATTTATAATTATATGATGTGAAATTTAATAGCTTAAGCGTGTCACAAAGTTTGAGAAAAGTTCTTTTGAATTTTGAACTTGGTCAATAGAATAAATGCAGGTCCCCAATTTTACATTTAATGATCAAAATTAATTGTGACCACTTTGTACCAAAGACAAACTTGGTCAATAGAATAAATGCAGGTCCCCAATTTTACATTTAATGATCAAAATTAATTGTGACCACTTTGTACCAAAGATAAATGGTCTCATTGTATAATTTTCCATAATTATTTGTGTCATTTAAGACTAATTACATGATTATTTTAAAATAACAAAAAAAAGATTTGAACTTTTAGTTCTTTAAAACTTAGATATGGACATGGTTTATTTTTTGGCTTGCAGACAGTGCATTTGACTTTTTTTCTCTTAATAGTAGAAGGGGATATATCCCCAAGAGAGAGTAAATAGACAGTGTTGTCTCACAAGATTGAGATCTTTTTTACAAGAAAAATTATTGCTAATATACTTTACTTTTAACAAAATTGAAAAAACACCTTAAACTTCCCAAAATCTCACCCACTTTTTTTCTCAATTTTCGCGACTTTTTGGACAATTAATAGAATTTATTGTATTACCTTGAAAATGTATTACGATACTTAATACTTTAATATGTATTATTTTATACGGTATTTAAAATACCGTAATAACTTCAATTAGCATTACAGTACTTTAAAAATCGTAAAAAGTAAAACCCATTTTACTATCGCAAAAACTAACCCATGTTATACAGCACTTCAAATGTTGTAAAACCTTTTCTCATATTTATCGCTTTCATTTTTTTTTTATTTTATGTTTATCTCTTATTTCTCTCATTCTATTTAATATTTATCTCTTCTTTCTCCCTAATTTTTTTTATCTCTCCTTTCTTTCTATAAATCTTTTCTCTCTTTGGGATATTTGGCCTTTACCTGTCTAAATCTTTTCTCTCCTTGGGATATTTGGCCGTGTCCAAATTGGCTGATAGGGTAAGATTGTAAAGAGAGAAAGAAAAGATAAAAAAGAATGAGAGAGAAAGAAGATGTAAATACGAAAAAGAATTAGAGAAAAAAAGAATTGATAAGAATTAGAGATGAAATAGATAAGTATATAAGAAAATGGTTTACAACATTTTAAATGATGTAAACTTTTTTTATATTTATCTATTTCATCTCTAATTTCTTAAATACCGTAAGCCCTTTTTTTTACGGGAGATAGAAAGAATACCGGAGATATAAAGAATAGATCAACATAAAAAAATTAGAGATAAAATACTTTTCTGTTTATATTTATCTATTTCATCATTAATTCTTTTTATGTTTATCCATTCTTTTTCTCTCTAATTCTTTTTCATATTTATTTCTTATTTCTCTCTCATTATTTTTTCTCTTATTTCTCTCTCTACGGTCTTACTCTACAAGCCAATTTGGATACGGCCAAATATCCCGCTTAGGGAGAGAAAATATTTAGAGAGAGAAGGGAGTGATAAAAAAACTTAGAGAAAAAGAAGAGATAAATAATTAAAACAAGAGAGAAATAAGAGATAAACATAAATAAAATAGAGATGAAAGAGATAAATATAATAAAGAGAAAATGTTGACATATAACATGAGTTAGTTTTTACGATGGTAAAAAGAGTTTTAGTTTTTATTGTACTTAAAAGTACAGTAATTGGCTTACATAGGTTTACATACCGTAATGCTAATTGAAGTTATTGGTATTACGGTACTATAAGTACCGTAATATATTTTCAAGGTATTACAGTACTCAAAGTACCGTAATTCTATCAATACCTTTACGGTAGAAAGATTACCGTAAAAGCCATTTTCATCCAAAAAAATCGTAAAAATTAGATAAAAAAGTGTGGACGACATTTTGAGAAATTTGGGGTTTTTTTTCCAATTTTATTAAAATTAAGGTATATTAGCGATAATTTCCCTTTTTACGACTACGATTTTCCAATGAATTTTGCTTATACTAGCCCAAATTTCAATTTTTTAAAGGAAAATTAACATTAATATCCCTATTTATAGGGATATCACTAGTTTTGCATATTTAAAAAATGTACCAAATTTTTTAAGTTTACATAAATGTCCTTTGTTTTTTCTTTTTTTTTTTTCTAACTTATGTTTTATCCAACATGCCCTTAACTTCGGTAATCAGAGTACCAAAATAAGGTTGTAGCTTTGCAGTTTCCAAAAGAATGTTCGACACTTGGATTACTGTACATTGTCTTCCCTGAATATTTTTTTGACTACTTCTTGTGTCGAACTAAACCTCTTTTTCTTAGAAAAACAAAAAAAACAAAGACTAGTTTTCATAGTACTGAACTAGTTTATTTATTTATTTTTAACAAAATAAAGTATGGTACTACAACTAGCGAACTAGTTTCTATAAGAAAAAAAGAACAATATACAAAGAGATCATTTACTTTTTATACAAAGACGGCACAATCACTATTGTCTTTTAGATTTCAAAGTGAATGGTTGTAAGAGTATCATTGAATAAACTCAATGATTAAAAAATAAAATTCTCAAACTTCTTGACCAAAACCATCCAATTTGATATCTAATGAGTAGGAACAATTGTGACCTCCTTATAATAAAGATAAATAGTTTTTTTGTATACATTCCATAAAAAAAAAAAAACATTTTGTTCATAATGATTGAATGAGACATTTAACTAAGAATATATTTAAAAAATATTTGGTACTCCTAATACCAAACTTTATGTTTGCAACTACATTGCTACAATCTTAATTTAGTGCACTGAGTACCAAATGGCATTTTGAAAGAAAAAAAAGTTGGAAAAAGGGCAATTTATTTAAAATAAAAATTCATAATATTTTTTTGAATACCCAAAAAATGAGGGTTTTTTTTTTTTTTTTCACTCCTAGCGTTGGGGAAAGGCCAAATTCTTTACTTCATCCCACTCTATACATGATGTTGGTAATAACAAAGGGCCTGGTCGCTTCTATCTCTTGCTCCAAGCCTCCAACCTTAAGTTACACGCTCCACGCACACATGTATATATAAGATAAAACCATCATGCCTAAAATGAATAATAATTTAAGTTATGCTCTGAGCCTTGATCAGGTTGTTGAAAATAGTTATTACTACTTGAATTTTAATTATTCTTTCACAAAAATATTTACATTAAAAATTTTAGACAAACACCACAACACACCATATAAAATTGTAAGAAAATATTTTTAAAAAACTTGAAATAACCAAATTACCCCATCACTTTCCAAG